AGCTCTGCTGTAAGCTCTGCTCCCCAGGCGATCGTCAGCAAGCAAAGCTGAGGCAGTGGTTGGTCTCGTGCTATCAGTGAAATTGCTTCCTTGCCCTTGGAGAAGCAGTACTGAGCCTTTGCTCCCTCTGGGACCTTTGTAATGAGACGACAAGGGCTGAGGGTCGCCCTTTGCTGAATTCCAGCACGCGTGGAAAGCTTTATCAAGCGGCAGCGCTCTGTGCAGGCTGCTGCTTTCGGCAGCCCTATCAAGGCTCTGATAACAGTCTATCTAATCTAAACCAGTATGAACTGGTTCTTGGATGTCCACGGCGTGGAAGTTGCAGCTTGGAAGCAGCCAGCCTCCAGGAGTCTGCCACGGAGGTTTCAAAAAGAGGCAAATCTGTGCCATAGTTCATCTTGTGTGCTGTCTTGGCAAAGCAGCACAATGAAAACTTGGTGGAAACCAAGAGGCACAGAGAGTTCATGACAGCAGCAGCTGCATCTTTTCCCATCCTATTGAACCTTTCAAAGCAATGCACCCCTGTGGCCTGCTGAAGAAGCCTTTGTTCCTCAGGGTTAAAAATAAACAGACCAAAGATGCAAAAAGCGGGCAGCAGACCAAGGTCCCACGTACCAGCACAGCAGAAACAGGGATGACCCAGCCAGTTACATGGGATGAGACAGAGGGAAGCCTACCTGGATATCTGTGATTGGCAAGCTTGTGACCGAGCTCTTCTGAAAATGCCTAGGGGTTTTGTGGTGCCCAACTGGACCTGCATTCAATAAATCCATGACTGAATCAGCAAAAGCCCTGACCTGTAGCCTTTCACTTCTGGGATAAGAAAATCCTGGTGCAGAGCCCAGTCCCAGCTTCTTCGAGCACTGTGGTGAAACCTGAAGCTTTAGAAAGTCTGGGGAGTCTCTGGTAGGGTGGATAAGAAGAGTGGGAGAGGAGATAGAGGTGAGGTGCATGAAGACATTCCCAGAGCTGCACAAGGCTGCCAAGCACCCTGTCCTGGCCTACTGCAAAGTGCCTCTCCTCACTCTTCATAGTTCAGAGCTTCAGTAAGGGTTTTGCTGAAAGGGGAGGAGGCAGAGAGGACTTCTGCTGCAGGAGCCCTGTGACTCAAAACCCCGTTCACCACCATAATGTCCAAACCATCAAGCGGCAGCACACGTAGTAGGGTGGTTTCCCAGTGCTCTGGGCAGACTGGGAATCCCAGGGAAGGGTTGTGGGAAGGTGATAACAGCCTTCAGCTGCTCCACAGGCAGCTACAGAGATGATGAGATGAGGCCAAACTCTTCCTGGTTATAGCAGATATGATATGAGGCACTGGCCGCAAAGTGCACTTTAGGAGGTTTGGGTTAAGCACCTCTTCTTCAGGAGGTAAGTGGGGCAGCCTCAGGGTGGGTGCCCAGAGAGGGAAAAGAGCTGGGTTTTGAGATACAACCCGAGCCATGGCTGAGCTGCTCTGGTGTTGGTGATGTTCTTGCTTTGAGCAGGAAGCTGAACCAGAGACCTTCAGAGGTTCCTCCCAACCAACATTTCTCTGATTCATCACCTTGGGACACAGAGCATTCAGCTACCTCCTTGTCTAGGAGGGAGCTGAGAAGTTTTACATGTCCCTGTCTTTGGTTCAGATGCAAAAAGCAGAAATGAGACACTTTTGTTCTTTTTTTCTGACAAGCTTCTAAGATCCCATGCTTTATTTTCAAAGCAACTTAAACACAAAAGAACCTGCTGGCTTCCCACAAGATGTAGCTTCCTCAGTAATTAAAAGAAAAGAATGATCCATGTCTTTTCTCTTTGTACAAAGCAGGTCCAGGTTTTAAGGTATGGATTTAGTTTTAATCTAATGGGCATTTGCCTCTGTCTTGTATTAAAGCAAACCAGGTACATTTTCGTGGCCCTGGAAAGTTAAAGTTATGTCATATTTTAAAAGATCCTATATTCTGGGAAGATGTACCAGTATTCTGAACTTTGCTATTGAGATTAAGTTTATCTCACCTGCTGTTTGCTCAGCAGGCCTGGCTAGATAATAATTACCCTGGCCAAATTTCAGTAAGGATTTCTTCTTTTTTTTTTTTTTCATACAAACTTCTGCATTTCTTTGCCAGGAGAAATGAAAGAACATGACTCCAGCAGAACACTTGGAAACAAAACAAAGAGGTTTTATTGATAAAAAAAATCAGTTGTTTGCATTTCCAAACTTGCCAGCAGTGATCCATAGTCCACATTTATCCAACACACCAAAGCTGGGAGCACAGATATGATATATCTGTCCACAATAACTGAAGAGGACACCTGCAGAAAACAACCTGGGTCTCAGGTGGGGTGAATTCTCTCATGAGTTGTCTGCTTCTATCAACTACTGAAACAATTTCTGCCCATTAACCAAGAGAGTCCTGAACAATTACAGTCCCCTTTTAATATTTGATGGGAGACATCCAGACCTTAGGACCCTGTCCTGCCCAGAGAGAGTTCTGACCCTATTTCTGGTGGGTTTCTGTGTGATTTAGCTGCACAGATTAGGCATGATAACAATTTAAAAATGTGTGGGACAAAACCTGGTGGGTTTTTCCAAATCTTGTCTTAGGCTCAGGTCTCATTAGCTTGGTGGTTGCATCTCCTTTCAAGCTGGCATGGGTCTCCAAGGGAGGTTGTGGGCTTGGGAAATCTCTGGTGGCTGAGATGTCAGGCTTCCTCAGGGGCTAGGGGAAAATAAGGTGCTCCTTCGAGTACCTAAGACTGGATTAATCTTGAATAATATGAAACATATACAAATGCCCAAGACACATAGGCCTCTTTTGGAGAGGCTGGAGTGGGATAGGCAACTTTATAATGTTGTTTCTCCTGTTTGTCTCCTTCAGCTTTCCTAGGCATCTACTCAGAGGTGCTCATTGCACTGGATGTGGCTTAGGTTACCTGAGAAACATCTCTCCCCAGTGACTTAGTAGCTACCCTTCTTAGCTGCATGTAGAACTGGGTGGCAAATGGGTATTCTCCCTGGCAGTGGGATGTGGGCAGGCATAGCTGGTCTGGGAGTGGATCTCTCAAAAAAAACATGAAAACCACAACTCCAGACTGCTCCAGGTGGTGATGATGGAGGAAAACTCAATTGTATAGAGCTGGAGTTTTCCCATGGTGATCTCCACTCAGGAGCTCTGGGCTCCAAAATGAGTCAGATAATAGAAAAATATTCAGGTGTTTTTTCAAGTCTGAGTCTCTCTCCCCACCATGGAAAGAGAGGGGACCTGAGCTGCCTGGAGGAGAAAGCACAACATGGGCATGAATGCATGGGAGGCACAACATGGGCTTCCAGGTGGCCCATGGCCAGAGGACATTGTCTGGTGGGAGTCAGGGAGCTGTCAGGACCTGGCTGGAGAGGTCTGTGACCACTGTCTCCTTGCAGAAGACACTGGAAGGGGATGAGTGGCAGCACAGCCCTGTGTTCACCTGGTTGGAGGAAAAAATGAAATGTTTGGAGACATTTCTGCATGAACCCACACCCCGTGGGTGCTCCCTGAACCTGCCTGGCCTCCTCCGTGGTGCAGAGGGGGGATGTCCCCTATGGACACCCACCCCCAGCAACTTCACCCACCCTTGCCCCCCCACCAGAGGTTTTCCCACTCCTGCCTCGTCAGGCAGACACTGCCTGTACTAATTAACCAGAAACTGAGGCTGACTCTCTCCTGGGCAGTGTCACTGCACCACGACAGTGCAGAGAGAGGAGGTGGACGGCAGCCCCCAGCGGAGTCTGCGGGAGCAGGACAGGGCACTGCAAAGGGCTCTGAAAGCATCTCCAAACTGGAAGAAGGGAGGGTTTTTTCATGCTATCCATGGCTTTAAAAAAGGCCAAAGTTGCTGTGAGAAGGCAGAAGGGAAGAATTGCAAAGAGGAGAAGGCATGTAAGTGAAAAGGAGGGAAATCTCTGAGCTGGTGACTTTGGGAGGGAGGGAGGAGGAATTCACTGGGGAGAGGATGGGATGGGATGGGATGGGATGGGATGGGATGGGATGGGATGGGATGGGAGAAAGAACTGAGCCTGGGAGTCGAGACCCAGAAGGGGGATGCTCAGATGCTGTGCAGCAACTAGGAATGCTCAGTCAAGGGGACCACACTAGAAGAGCCCAAGCCTTGAGTCCTGCTTTGGAGGGAGGAATCAGGCTCAGCGTGGAGGCTGCTGCTGGCCCTAATTCTGATGGGATATTTGGGAGAAATGCAGCTCTGAGGGCCAGGATGCTCCCTCAGTACACAAGTGACTGTGGCTCCTCTGAGGAAGGAGAGGAAAGAGGGTTTTACCAGTGGCTCCTGCCAATAGCCTTGGTACATCACTAATGACACTGCTCCAAGTATCCACACAAAACCCCTTTCCTGGAGGCAAGGCCACAGCAATGGAGTCTGATTTAAGCTGCAGTCTCCAGAATGGGCCAGTTCAAGCCCAGGATTTGATTCTGAGTTGTGTTTTTTCCTTAGGAGACAATGATAATTCTGTGACTACTGTTCCATCTGGGTGACACCAAAACCCACCATCGCAAAGGACCACGAGGCATCTGAAGGAGTGGGCAAGTTAGTCCCTGGCAGCATGCAGCCACTGCTCTTCATGCCAGTGCCAGAGACCCAGCATGCACACATCAGCAAGGAGAAACCCCCCCAATGTCACCGTAATCCTTCATCACTTTCTCCTCTCCCAGATGTCCACGTCCAGACTGCAGGCTGATTAGATGATTTGGCTCATTCCTCTGATAATTAATCTCTTTGCACAATTATTTTTTTATCATTTGTTTATGGATGCCACGTTGCCACCTCCATAAAAGGGGATGATGGGGTTTTCCCTGCCCCCACATTGTAAATTGAGGAGCAAATTGTAAAATGAGGAGCAATTTATCTCTGACCATTGCCCAGTTTTATGTTAATGTTTGAACATGGCCATAAAAGCATTACATCATCTTACCTCTGACCAGCTGTTAAGGGAAAAGGACCTTATAAAACCAAACTCTGCTTGCCAGCAAGGCACCTTCTCTTGTCTTGGGAGCACGAGGAGCATTTCCATCATGAGCTTCACTGGAAAGTACGAACTGCAGTCCCAGGAAAATTTTGAGCCTTTTATGAAAGCCCTTGGTAAGTGCCTGCACTTGCTATGTGCTGCTTTGCCTCCACAGATCCCACTGACATTTGGAATTCCAGCTGTGCTGATGTGCTGACGTAGACTGAAAACATCTCTCAGATTTCCTATTTCTGTCTGTCATCTTGAAATTGCTGGGGTTTTTAAATGCATGTGCATGGAGATGTGATCTCAAAACAGAAGAGAAAACATCTCTCTGGCTGGTCGATGGAGGTCAAGAGGTGTTGGGTGAAATTTTATGACTTGCAGGAAAATGACCCCAGCAGGCTCTGCAGCCGTGGGCCAGCACAGCAGGGTGCTGCACACACATGATAAGCCAGCTGGACCTTGGTGGCTCAGGGTGACTGCAGATCTGCTCCACCAGGCTGTGAAATTTGTGGGTGAGCAGGACATCACTCAGCCCACACGGCTGCTGCTCAGTGACGCTGCAAAGCCCTAAATTCCACCATTCATCAGAAAAATAGTGGGGCTTGTTTAAATGCTTAATGGTTGGCTAGATTTCCACCAGGGAACATGCCAGGGAACATGCCAGAGGCTGAAGAGGCTTTGCACTGCTTCTGCACATTTGTGTGCCAGAAGGGCTCTACTGGTCAGACCAGCTTCAGGCTTTAGGACAAGATTTTAGTGGCCTGGTTCTGAGGGACTGGGGGACTCTGAATCTCATTTAAGAAAAAAAAAAAAAAGCCAACAAAACCCACTTCATTCCCTCATTCTGCCTGGTTTTACTGCATTTTCTCTGCTTGCCTCTCAATGAAGGAAGGAAGATGGGATTTCTTCTTTCCATCTGGTGCTTAGTCAGGGAGGTAGCTGTTCTGCTCCCAGCTGGGTTGGTGAGACAAAGGAGATGTCTAGTTCCCACACAACACCCAGATGACAGCATTTGTTATTCTTCCTCCCCATCAGACTCAGGACCATGTGGCCCTTGGGGAACCATCATTATTGGAAGGTTATTCCATACTGGAATAGAAATCCTCCCAGCTGTGGGTCCCCAGTTCCCGCCACATTCGTTTGGCATCAGCAATCTGCCCAGGGATGGCTCCAAGGTCCACCTAACCTCTCTTGTTCCTGGGCAGGGCTTCCTGATGACCAGATCCAGAAGGGTAAGGACATCAAGAGCATCTCAGAAATCGTACAGGATGGGAAAAAGTTCAAGGTTACCGTGACCACTGGCACCAAAGTGCTGCACAACGAGTTCACCATCGGGGAGGAGTGCGAGATGGAGATGCTGACAGGAGAGAAAGTCAAAGTGAGTGATCAGCTCCTCCTCTGCCCGGGCTGCGGGGGCTCAGGGACATTGAGCTTCCTTTTTAATTCATTTCTGAGCCACCTGCCCGAGAAACTCGGAGTCCAAGACTCAAGTACCCACCTCCCCTCTTTGCTTTTACAAAACAAGCTCCCCAGCCAGCACTTCTACAGATGAAACCTTGCACTTCTAAAGCTATTTAGAAATAATAGCAATTTTATGAAACACTAGAAGGCAGGGGTTTAATTGCTTATTTGGAAAAAAATGGGGGCTAGAGATGCACCTTGGTACATTTTTCTGACAGGAAAAGGTCTGAAAGGTTGGAGATGCAAAAGGGTTGACTTTCTGGTATTTTGCAACACAAAACATACACCTACCTTCAGTTTTCTGATTTAAAGGTAGTGCAGGAAAGTCAGCCAATGCATCACAAGCCAATAAATCCCCTCTTTGAAGTCCCAGTGGCTGTTAGCTTCTCTGCTAGCATTTTCCACTGCTTCTGTTTACACTGGGTAAGATGATTTGGCAAGGTGAGGATTTATCACCCTTGAAATTGGGTCAGCTCCCGTTCCTGGACATTAGTTTCCAATGGTTCATGAAATGTCAAGACAGCACCACCAGCAAATACTGCCTTTCACCTCTGCCTCAGGAGAAGATGGTATTGGAGGGACTTTTGAAAGCAGGAGGGGTGATCATGAAGGAAATGCTCCAGCAAGTTGAGCTCTGGGAGCTGTACCAGCTATATCATGATTTCCAGCCTCACTAAAGTCCCTTGTGCGTAAACGACAAGGAAAGGGCTATTAGAGGAGTTTTACCCTCCATAAATAAGCAGCTGAAGGGCAGGTGAACATGCCTTATGGCTTCACAGACAGATGAACAGAAATGGGTTTTGCTGGGTTCTTTGAGTAATTCAATGCTCAGTGATAGCTGCCCAGGGGGTGCTGGTGCTGTCTGCAGCCTTTTCAGCTGTGCAGCTCCTTTGGGACAGAGACTCAGCAGATATACCTGTCCTTCTGAGAGCTTTCCAGCCATGACTGAGTTTCTGAAAACTCATTAAACAGTTTTTCCACCTTGACCAAGACATGCTGTCACCCTGTCACACCACCCCAAAGAAGGTTGCTGCAGCAATACACAGTAGGTGGGTAATGGAGAGGAGATGACAGCATGCCCTGGACCAGCTCGTGTGGCTCTTGCAGTTCTCTCCTTGGAGATGGGCAGCTCCTTTTGGTCTGGGTACTCCATGAGGAGCTGCCCCGAGGAGCATCAGGGCTGCACAGAGGCACCAGCACTGACAGAGTGAAGAGCCTTGCTTCCTCTCCCCCAAACTCATGTGTTGGTGTGATGCCAAGGGATGCCAAAGATCCCTGCTCTGGTGTCTAAAAGTTCAGGAGCCATAAGTGAGTCTCAAATTGAAGGGGAAGGAGTTAGGTGTGGTGCCAAAATCACATCCCTGTAGGGGTCAAAGTAAACATCCATACCCTGTTGTGTTGTAAGTCACCACCAGCACCATCCTCTCTCCTTGTCCAACCAGGAAAGCCAAAATCACTGGGGGAGCAGCTTTGTCCAAACAGCTTGCAGAGGGGATGGTGGCAACTCAGTACAGAAGGGGAAGGACGAAATGCAGGGGTTGATATGATCACCAGTAATAACCTGGATGCCTCTGTCTCCTCCTGCCAGGCTGTTGTGCAGATGGAGGGTAATAACAAACTGGTCGCCAACCTGAAAGGGCTGAAATCTGTCACCGAGCTCAACGGAGACACCATCACCAACGTAAGTGCAGGAGAGCAGGGCAATGGCTGGAGTCATGGTGCATACAGGTGCCTTCAGGAGTCTGGCCCTAGAAAGCCTACAGAGATACTGAGGACCTTAGGAAGGTGCTGGAGTTGGGCACATGCTTGCACTCAGGCTCTAAAGCCAAAGCTGACCAGTTGACTGGGCACTGAACACAGTTTTTTGTTATTGTCCAGTTAAACAAATACTCTTTAAGACCCCAGTAGGCATTGCTGATCAAAGTTTCATGCAATGAGGACATGTTCTCTCCCATCTGGAGGTATAGGCACGTTTCTGGGTCTGGTACTTTTAAAGAAGAGAGGTGCAGCAGCCTGATCACTGTTGAGGGATGCCAGATTATCCCGACCTGCTTTGGAGTATTCAAGAAGAACTCCAAAGCTTTAATAATTCAGTTTATGGGAGATAGACTGGGGGTCAGTCCTGTTTTGATTTGCAAGACCAGATCCTTTCCAAATAGATTTTGGAGCCATGCACCATGAAAAGCTAACACCCTCCATTTGTTTTTCAGACGCTGACCTTGGGAGACCTCACCTACAAGAGAATCAGCAAGAGAATCTAGAAACCTTGCACACACCAATCATTTTACTGTGTAAAATGTGTTCATTAAAGTAAAATTTGTATTAAAGGCCTCTTCATTATCTTGAACCTCTTCACTGTTGCTGTAAAGAGATGTAAGCCCCCAAAACTCATGCATGCCTTGGTAGAAACTGGGCAACAGGCTGAGCCAAGGCTGTGATGATGTCAGTGAATGGAGCTGGGTTAGGGCACAGCCTCAGAGCCACTGAGTGACCCCCTGAGATGTGCTCCATGCTGATGAGCATTCTCCCAGCCCCATCCCATGCACAAGTGCCAGCATCCTGCTGGGGATGTCCTGGTGGGTTGTGCAACCATGGCTGCCCTGGCTGGGTAGATGGAGGAGCACTGGGTGGGGAAAGGGCTTGGTTCAATCGTGACCAAAGTGACCAAGCAGTGACTGGGAGGGCCAAAGGATGGAGTGTTTTGGGTGGGCTCAAGGAAATGTCAGTGATCCTGCCTGGCAAGCTGACTTGAGGAAGCGACCAGCATGGGGAGCAGTTTGGGTGTCCCAATTGCCATCTTCATCCTCACACCTCTGCAACATAATCCAGCCCTGTGGACGCTGGCCACCCTGTCCCCACCTCCTCCCCAACCCTTCCCAACAGCAGGAGGACCCCAGAGAACATTCAGGTGTCCAGTGTGTGTTTTGCCCCAAACTGCACCTGATAAATTGGGCTGAACTGGAATTGAATAGTTCTTCCAGGACAGACTACAGGTTTTTTTACTCCTGGCAGGAGGTGAGTACTGATTGTTCACAGTGTAGACACAGAAGGAGCACCAAAGTCATCTCTCATGTTTTTGCTTGGTGCTGCAGACTGGCTGGAGACACAGATGTACACAGAAGAGGAAACTTTTCCTCCTTAGCTGCCTTTTCCAAGCCCTGAGCTTGGATGATGATTTGGAATAGCCACTGGGAAATGGGTCTATGGTTGGTATGATACACCTAGCTGGGATGATGTTCTTACAAGTGCACAAAGATGGTCATGATGTTAGGAAAACGTCACAAGCACTTCCCTTCCTCCTCCTGCAACTCAGTGTGCCACTGAACGACCAATTTGCTCTCATGTACATCTCTCCCATGACTCCTCTCTCTTCAGGGCAGGTTTTCATGTTACAGGTCATCATCGATCCACATGCTGAGAACTGAACCAGTATGGATTGTCACACTGGGCATCAGATGAGCAGCTCATGGACAAATGGAAGGGCTTAGCTAAACAGCTCCTAAAAAGCAGATGTTGGTCTCCATCTTAGACCTGGAGAAACATCAGCAAAATCTTTGAGAAATGTCAAAGAGGGAAAGTCCTGGTTTGGTTTTGTTGCTATTCTGCTGAGGAGCAGGTAGGGGAGACTTAACAAACCATTTCTTTTCATCTCTCAGCTGCTCCTGAAGGTCTGGAGCAAACCAGTCCAATTTTGAGACAGACAGGCAGAAAACAGACCCTTTTTTTATCTAGAATTCCAACCATTGCCTTTAGACTTTTCCTTAGCTCCTCTGGCTGCCCACAGGCAGCTGACTCATGGGCTGTCTCTTTTTCTCTCAGTGCAAAATTGGTCAAGCACCTGTCTAAGCTGAAAGGCAGGTGCTGAAAGGCATCAGAACCCCCAGCTCATCATGAAGGTGAGCAAAGGTGGGTCCCCCTCCCTGGAATTGCTCAGTCAGAGCAATCCACACAGCCAGTGCACCACACCAGTGCTTCTGGCACAGACTCATCTCCTGTCCACCTGCTGCCATCACTGCATCTGACTTTCAACTAAGGAGACTAATTTACCCAAATTAATTTATCCAGACATAGGAATACCACTTAGTCTTACTCACAAAGTGCCCACAGTTTGATGCTGGACCCGTGTCAGCTTCAGAATCATTTTTCAGGAGTTTTTCATCAGAAAGACACCACTTTACACAAACACCATCTGTGGGTCTCGTTCAGTTTGCACTCAGTGCCCACAGCTGTACATGACACTTTTTGGAACCAGCTTCCCACCTCTACCATCCCTTGGCCAACCACCCATGGACATCACTGGAAAGAACTGATGTCACCACAAGGAATTGATGGGGAAAACACCACTTAGGAAAAGAATCAACTAATATTTAACCAAGGACTTCAAGGTCAGGACCTCTGTAGAGAGAAACACGCTTCCAGTAAGAATGTAAATAATTTTATAACTGTTTTTTTTTTGCTTTGATTTTTAATGTTACTGATAGAAAAAGGATGTTGTTTCTGCCAAGACCTCTTTTGCTTTGAGCTCTCAGATTTTTCAGGACTCTTCCCCAGCAGGTCCATGCTGTCAGGCTGCTGCCATTAGAAACAATCCTTATAGATATATCACATGCTTATATCACATTCCCAGTGTCTGGAGGTGTCACAGGTGATGCTATCCCACAGGCATGAATTTGTGTCAAGCTTGGGGTTTATTCCTTCTTGTGGAAGAGGCTTGGTGAGGCCTCATTGCTGGGTTCAGGCATGACATGAATCTTTTGGTTTTTCAGGGCAGCTTCCCTCATCTTGTAGTACATGAACTCGTTCTGCTGGAACATGCGCAGCTCCATCTCCGTCTGGACACGCATGACCTGAGGGACACAACAGGTCACAAAACCTGTCATTCAGGTCAAAGCAAGTGAGTAACACACTGCCTAAAAATGGGGACTGTCCTTCAGGGATGTTCCAGGCCATATACTGACTAATGTATATTACTCTAGGCGTCCCACCAGCAGGACCAAAGCTGACCGGACACAGACCTGTTTGCTTGTGTACTGTGAAGGTGAAGAAGGCATCAGCCCTTCCTGCACCCAGCTGGTAAACTGGGAACCTCCACCATAAGTATTCTGGTGCAGTCACATTGTAATGCTGTCTATCCTAGAGCAGTGGAATCAGGCTGTCTGAAGAATGAGAGGATCTGTCCTTGGGCACTGCAGGTTCAAAGCAGATTCAGGGGCTCAGTGGCCACTTTTAATCCATACCCTTGTGCAGAATAAAAGCTGTTTTTCAGGGGTGACAATTTCCCATAGGAAGGGGCACGCACTTCCCAGCAGACTGTGACATGATCCAGAGAAAACCACAACACTAGTGAGAAGCAGGAGGTACTTGGTACATCCCTCAGCTCTTATGGATGGGTTGTTTTCTACAGCTTGCATGTAATTTTGCCCAGACAGATAGCAGAGACAACACAGGAGATGCCACCTACCTCCAGGTCTTTGGTAATTGGGTGGGAAGGGCCATGGGTTATCAAGAGGATGGCATAGGCTTTACAGATCAAGCCATGCCCAGCTTCAATGAGACCAGCATGCCAGTGAGTCACTCCTGCCCGCATCACGGCCATTCCCAGCTGTGCATTGTTGGGGTGGTATATTTTCCTGAAAACATATTAGGTCATTTTAGTTCAGGAAAGATTTGGCTTCCCAAATGTTTGTCAGTGACGTGATATGTTTGCTGAAGAGCAGACTGTTTACTCAAGTGAAGAGCCTCTTGCACTGGGTGCCGCTGGCATGTACCGCCCTGCTCAGAAAGGGGCAGGCAGGAGTTACACCAGGACAAGAGTGATACCAGGACATGAGTTGTGAGAGGATGAACAACCTGTGAACAGGGAAGGTTGGACACCTTGGTTGGAGAATGCCAAGCTCTGTCATTCCACATTATTTTGTCACAAACTAAACCCAGATCTGACCCTACAGCCCAGACAACACCAACTTAACTCCAGACACTTCAGGCAGTGCCTAAATTGAGAATGCAACAACCAGCATCTTATTCAAAGTGGAGAAAGAAACAGGTTGTTCCAAAAACTCCAGAAATGTTCATCTCACCCCCTGCAGATGCATCCCTGCCACTGGGGACTATCAGATCACTCCCCTACAGTCAGTAACCAAGATGGGAAAACAAAACCTGGTTTCTACATCCAACTTTAGAAGCTGAGGCAGAGTTAGAAGGTGCTTGGAGTTACTTGAAAACCTGCCTTCAAGGGTTTATTTGGCATATTGAATTGACCAAAGGAAGGAAGGAAATTACTGCAGTCCCCACTCTGGACTGAAAAACTGAGAATCAGGGAGGGGAGGCAATTTCCTCTGTGTCATTCAGTTAGCTCAGAACCAAGGCTGTGACCTGAAGTGGCTTGTCAAGCCTGCAAGCCAGAGGGTGACTCTACCACCCCTCTGAAAAAGAATATCATGGACATTTTTGGGGTAGAACTGACCAAAAAGACAAGTGGTGGGTATGAGATGCTCTCAATAGAAGGTTGAATGAGAGGATGAAATGGGCTTTTTTCTATTGTTTCCATCAGGTTCCTTTGGTTTGGTTTGGTTTGGGGTTTGGTTGGTTTTGGTTTTTTTTTTTCCTTTTTCTTTTTTTGCTGTTTGGTACTCATCAGTCCTGTAGTAAAACCTCAGTAATAATAAAGTACATATTTTTTACTGTGAGGTTTGCCCTGGATCTGTGCAAACTAAGTCTGAAGCCTGTATTTCTTTATTTTCACTGAGCTGTTATACAGGACCTGTGTGTACTAATTAGCCAAGACAAAAATTCATGGATTATTCAACAGTGAAGGGATATCTTGAGTGACAGCCATTTGACACAGTTTCTCCTTTCCCTGCAGCTTCTCCTTCCTCCATGGTGCAGGGGAACAGACCACCTCCTGCAGTGACAGCATCTTTGTCTTGCACCCAGGCTCTGTGTCTTGCTACCTGGGCAGGCCTGAGATGCTTCTGAGATAAAAAAATAAAATGAAAGATATACCAAAACCATACACCAGTTACAGTTTAGTAAACCAAGGTGTTGAGGAGCACTTGTGCATTTAAGGAGACTCCCTCTGTCTAGTCATACAGTCAGCCCCCAGCCTGAATGCCAACACCACTGCCCCGATGGGAACAGACTAAGCAAATTATTCCTATAACACGCTGCATAGTCACAGAACGCTGCCAAAAATAGGGCACAGACATACAGGTAGCCATCCACCATCCTCTTGGCGTAGTCAGCTGCTTCCTCAAACATCTGGAGGTAGGAGAGCACCTCGGAGGCAATGCTGAGGATGCGCAGGAGGTAGATGTTGGTGTCTCCCAGCACAGGCTCCTGCTTCTTCAGGCACTCGCGGCACAGC